GTTCACACGGCCTTATTGCGGTGAGGAACATGTATCGACGCAGTTGCTTCGGTCAAGTGCCGCTCAGAGGAAATGCGAAGACACGGAGCAAATGTTGACTGAGCAAAGGTAGCCAAAAACAAGCACGCGACAAAACCGTGCGGGCACTGGTCGTGTTACGGAGAAGGTAGTTGGCTCAAGCACACGTACCAGCGCGAGCATCTCTCCGGAGTTGGCCTGGCCGGAAACGCCTTCCAACACCTTAAGGGTTTCCGCCTCCATGCCCGGCCTGATGTTCTCCACCTCGTACTTGAGGTCCAAGAACGCCAGCTCCTGGATCGAGTCCCCCCTGGCGGTGTTGCAGGAGAGGATCAAATGGAGGGAGTTTGCCGATTGCGCCGACGGATTTTCTTGTGCCGTGTATTTTAACTCTTGCAGCTAGTAGGAAACACACCGGATCACCTACAAACCTGTTGATCATCAGCCGTACTCTCAACCAAGGGTTTATTCGATAAATTTAACGGTTTTATAGGCGGACAAGTTTTCGGCGGTAATGCCATTTAGCGGTGATTGTTTTGGCGGTAGGCGGTAATGCGTTTTTCGGCGGTAACGACTTTGGCGGAGGCGGTTAAACCAAATTTGGCGGTAATGTTTCGGCGTTATTGTCATGCGGCGGCAAACGTCTTGGCGGCAGGCAGTAATACGATTTTCGGCGGTAACGACTTTGGCGGAGACGGACAAACATAATATTGGCGGTATTTTTCAGCGGTAACACCATACGGCGGTAATAGTTTTGGCGAAAGGCCGCAACGCGTTTGTTGGCGGTAACGCTCTTGGCGGAGGCAGTAAAAACAAACAATGACGGTAAAACGGCGGAATACCGGGACCGCCCAACCACGGCAGTAATATAACGGCGGTAATTGTTGCCATTGCCTACGGTCACAACTTCAAGCGACACCAATCAAGGCGACAATTGCGGTGCGATGCAAGTCACCGCGCCCGAACAGACGGCAAACCTCTTTTCCGAAGATTGACCATGTGCTTCCATGGATTGTTTTGTCGTTTTCACCACGAGTGGCTTTCACATTTGAGAGTCAACTTGACGTAAAAAAGTTAAAACGGAAAGAAAAACGAAAACACGTCAAAACGAAAAACGAATCAAAAATGAAAAAAAATAGAAGTTACATTATTGCCTGCGCGACACGACCCACACGATTATTCGTGGTGGTTCATTGGCTAAAAATCGATCGACGTGTTCACCCTCTTCTCATACTCCTCCACGGATTTCTGCGCACTCTTGGCTACCCTAGCTTTGGCCTGTGCGACAGCGGCGTTGTACTCGCGGACCTCTTCGGGCAAGTGCCGGTTCAGCCTGATGAACATCATGCGCTCGATTTCCCCCGCAAGCATTCTGCTGCGCAGGTCACCGATGAGGTTGGCGAGCGCTGAAATTGTTCGCTCTGCCTGACAGCTGGTGGCCTCGATCCCGTGGTACAATAGAGCGATAAACGCCAGATACGGCATTTCTGCCGGAGCCGTGACCTAGCAAATACGTCCACATGCGGATTCGAACTCCTGATTCACACTCAGCATGGTTGTACGGCAGTCGAGGCTAACGTCTACTCACTCAGTCAATCGTTCGTTGGTAGTTTTTCGGCGGTAATGTCGAATGGCGATGATTTTTCGCAGGTATTGACGTATGGCGGTAATTGTGTGGGTGGTAAGCGGTAACGCGATTTTTGGCGGTAACGGCTTTGGCGGAGGCGGTAAAACCAGTAACCAGCGGCAATTTTTCGGCGGTAACGCCATATATATGGCGGTCATTGTTTTGGCGGTAGGCGGTAGCGCGTTTTTCGGCGGTAAAGCTTTTGACGGAGGAGGTAAAAAACAGAAAACAGCGGTAAAACGGCGCATTACCTTGATCGCCCACCCCGGCGGTAATTCAACGGCGGAAAAAATCACCGAGTAACTCTTTGCTTTCAACAAACCTGTTAAATCACAACCCGACAACTCCTGTTCAATTGTGACAATCCTGGTAAATAACACCCGCTTAAACTATACACATCTACAAACTGCTGTCCACCGAAAACGCATTTTGGGAGCGGTCCAGCTCAATCTGGTCACGCCCGGATACTCCGTTGACCCAAGCGACAGATAGTTTGAACGCTTTGCCCTGCACCTGTTGGGAGGAAAGATGGACGACGACTCGCGTGCCTTGCGTATTTCCATGGCATTTGCCTCCAGGTCCATTTTTTCTTCTGATGCTGCCGAGGTCATCGTAAAGAGCTTTCTTGAGCACTAGAACAGAGGTGCCGACCCTGCACAAAGCCGGACAACGTAACAAAGGTCACCGTTTTCTTTTCGTGATGGGTCAGCTGGAGAGGAGCGGGTGTTTGGCCCTGTGCTCCCTGCTTCCATCAGCAACGGCCGTGGGAACTGTCCTGATCGCAGCAGTTAGACTGCTGCAGTCTACCAACCACCGGCAAACTTTGCCCAGAGTGGGTGGCGTAACTCAAACGGCCCCGTTTATCGATCGCGATGAATCAGCCAGAGAGGCGCGGTTGTTTGGTCCTGCGTCCCCGCAGCATCCAGCGATGGTTTGAGCATGCGTGCAGCAGATAAATAGCAGGAGTAGCGCGCGGAATACGTAGCTGCTAGTCTGCGAAATATCAGTCCTGCGGTCGGATCCTACGCATGATATTATGACTCGCACTGGTACGCAACGCTGCTGCTGTGTTCTGATTGGCATGTGACGCACTATGTACTGCCGGGACGATTGCCGCGTTCGGTCTTTCCACGGGTAAGAGCTATCAACTAGGTCTCCGTCAAGGGGTGAAATATCTTATACGTGCACGGGCATCGGGCCCGGAAGGGGCGTGGGCCAAACATGATGCATTTATCCCGCACTGACTCCCGTGTGCAGGTAGAGACGAGAACACGACTCAAGCTAACTCACAATCGCAAGCGTACATATTCATAACAAACAGCGCAGTTCCAGCACGGAGGCGGTAATAGTCATGGATACTCACAGGACGAAGCCAGTTGATGGAGCAAGAGGCCAGGGTGTGCCGGGTGTGCGACGAGCACTGACGCGCCTGTGGGGGGTACGCAGCGTAGAGGGATCGATCGATGGGGGGGGGTTGAGTTGACTCAAGCCAGCAGTGAGAGGTGAGATAGGCGAGGATAGGATAGAATGGGTGCAGTATACACTCCGCCGAAGGGTGCTCTCCATTTGATGCGATCCATCCCTCGGGTGGGACGAGTTCTTTCGACGTCTCGGACAGCGCACGACGAAGGGAAAAGACGTGTATCATGAGCAAGCGCAGAGTTCTGTATAAATGAAGATTGCAATTACGAAAATCTTACACATATCACGAAGTTTCGAATCGGGGGCAAGGCACAGAACGAAGCGCGCGAAGAAGGGCATTGGGTCTGGCGAGATATTTCCAAAAGGCGTAGGCATGACGATGACGAGCGCCAGGATTACAAGTGGACTCGAAAGGGCGCGCAAAATCATGGTCATGAAGCCGCCCCGAGTGGTCCTGGCTGCGGGGTGACAAATCAGCATCGATGGCCCGCCCGCGTTCATAGTCAGTCCTGCTTTTTAGGGTTTCGCACCCGCTTGGGCGACCTATTGCTTGTCTTATCGGGGTGCACCGATATTATACAGTAGTACGTTATTTTCAAGCTCTGCACATCACATCTGACGGTGTGGTTGTCGTTCTGGTGTAGTATTTTTCAAATTAGAGTACTAGCAGGAAGTAGATTTTTGTTTATTCATCATCGTCCATCCCACCTCCATGTTCACCGGGTAGCAGGTGAGCGCCCTGAGGCCCTCTCATTCTACCCATGTTTGCAACCATCTTCTGCCTTCGCTCTTGCTTGGTTTCTCATGCGAATACACTCCTCTCCTCTCGGATTCACTTTACTGAGGGCATGGCTTGATCCAAACAGCAGGCTGCGGCCGTTCGTTGTACCCTGTAGAAAAATGCCAGACATTTCCGTGCCCTTTGCGTAACCTATTGATGATGTGGTTTTTGATTATATTAGCTCCTACTACTGCTGGGATCCTTTCCTTCCTCGCTTGGCGTTTTGTGATGACTTTTTTAAGGCCTCATCTACAGTAGCTTCGGACGTGCTCTCACCAATGCATGGCGTATCATACATGATGACCACATCTACCATTTTTCCTCTTTTCGTTCTCGGTGGTTCCCGCGCCCTTCACAACTTTCTTCACACACACACCTTGTTGTCCATGAAACCTCATCATTTGCGCTCTGTCTGGGTTGCTTCTTGAGCATACATGCGTTTGCTTGGAGTATCTATCCCCTGCTCCTTCTCCGTTGTTTACCGTAGACGTTAGGAACACACTCTGTGTCCTCTTCGCTTCTCCCCTCTAACGTTGCTACGAGGCTTACCAGTAACATGGCTCGTGAGTGTGGTGCCCACAGGTTCGTGAGAATTGCATTGCCAAAGTTCGAGAGAGGAGCATCCGTCGAGATTTTTACTGAAGTAGAAGCAAGTAGAAACAACTGGGAAAGTTAGGTAGAAGGACAAGAGGCACCAAGCAATAGCGTCCACCAAGTCCCGAACCTCGTCATATAATATACGAGGTTCTTAAGGGGTAGCGAGGAGATCCCAAAACTTGGGGGGGAAGATACGCGAAGTCGAACACCCATTGTTGCTGGTTCAGCACATCCCACGAGGGGAATGAGGCATTTCGTTCCGCTAGCACGTCCTCTCCTACGGTGTTCAGGGCTTCAACCACGACAAAATGCCCCTTTTTCGGTGCCGGCGGGGGGGTATGAATACGACCCGTGTTAAATAAGACTCTGATCACACACAACAATAATGATGTTTGACCGCCTCGACCACAGCACGGCTTTCGCTTGCGTGAAGCGAAAGCGCTTGACCGGAGTGATCAATTTGAAGGTCAGTGTTTTGGAGTCAGAAACCTCGGTGTTTTCGGTACTTGGCGAACCAGACAATGCATTCAAAAACAGTCAGAGGCTGGCTGCTCCGCTACCAACTACAGCTCTCGATGCCGTTTACACTAATGCAACACCACCGTTGACGATCCGTTGATACGTATCTTGCGTAATTTGTCTACTCCGAAGTTGCCAGCGTAGCTCTGACTGTGACTTCTCCTTTCCGAAAGAAGCTCATCGCCGTCGTGGGGACCACTCGCTGTGGAAGTTGTAGGCGAAACCTTCCCTTCTCTGCAACACCGTCACCGCCGCCATCACCGGCGTCTGCAGCTGAATTCCGTTCGACAACAAGCTTACACCCGTCAGGCGAAATTTTCACCGAAGGACATCCAGAGATGTGATGTTTTCCGGCGGTGCTGACGGGGGCGGCTATATTGCCGTCCGAGAAAGAGCAGACAATTTCGACCGTCGGGTCTTCGCCAGGTATCTCGATCTTGTAGATCTGTGGGACCGAGTGGGGGAACGTATTGGAAACGTTGCGCCATGCCAGGTTGCTTTAGACGGTCTGATGCGCCAAGCCAATTCACTTCGTGAACTCGGCAACCAGGTTATCTTGTTTTTTTTTACCTCTTTTCTTTTTTTCGGCGGTTATCATCATGGTGGCCGAGTAGATCATGTTGTGCGGGATGGAGAACCCTCACTCCGCACAAGGGGGATGACCGCACCACGTTGTGTTAAAATGGTCAAGCACCCTCGAGGCAGTTACACAGTGCTTTCAACTGTCTCTCGAAGTGAAAGCACCAGAAAATAAATTAAGTCATATGTAGTTGTCATCCGTACGCAAGGAAGTAAGCACAAGAGGCCGAAAACCCATAGCAGGATGCAGCGCACCCTTCATGCGACTCGCTGAACATCTCACGGCGCTTCGCGCTTGGTGATGTGAGAGCCTGGTCCGGCGAGAACCCGGCGTGCTCCGTCCCGGCTTTGTCGGGATGCGAGGTCAATGGTCTAACGACTACGGCATGCACGACTACGAGTACACCCCCTCCCCCCCACACGTGACGCCGGGGGCTAGCCCTATGCTGCCTTGGAACTTGAAGGACATGTACTGTACTGTAGTAGTACGTTCCAAGGGATGTAGATTTTCCTCCTCCCTTACCTGGTACTCAGGTCGGTTCGGCGCAGGTGTATCCGTCGTCTTCTCGTCATCATGCCCATGATCTCTTGCTGCGTTTGATGTTGCATTCGAAACATTGTGCAATGGCGCTTTTTCGTCTGTGAGCCCTTCTTCTACCGAGGCTGTGGGTGGGGTCCTTCCAAGAATATTTCGGCCGGGCCCATTCTCGTCGCCATCACCATCGCCGTCGTCGTCGTTGTCGTCGTCATCGAGCTGAATCTTTACCCTCCTGGGTTTCGGTTCAACACGGTCGTCCTGTTGTTGAAAGGCAAAAGGACAGCAGTGGGCATCCCGCCAACACGTGTTAGCACTAGAGCACTCAAGAAGAAGACTATCATTATTAGGGTCGACCTAAACAGGCCAAAAAAAAACTGCGAAACCTGCGATCACAGGTTTTACCTGCGAATATGGAGGCTTTTTACCTGCGATCGCAGGTCGGGAGCAGGGCCGAAAAAATCACCTCTGCTCCTTTTCTGCGATCGCAGGTACAAACCTGCG